TTTATAATTCAGTTATAATGAACAAACAATGCACACACTTGCATAAAAATCCCCTCAAAGGTATTCAAGTTATTTTCTTTAATGTTTCAACAACCTAAGATTTATGGGTATATAGACAAGGCGCTATGTTTAGTTCGGGGGAAATTAAGTAATACGATACGCAAGGTATTGACCTTTCAGCGATTCTTTTGGAATGTCATTAATTTTATATAAGCAGAATCAGCCATCCTCACTACGTCCATGTGATTCCAGGCTAACGGGCTCAAACCTTGACGTCGTGGGGATGCGACACAGCAACAAATTACCGTAAACAATTGAACAGTTATGAATCATTTACTTAAAAATGCGAATTATAGACTGTTGACACATAATGTTTTTCTACGTTTGTCAATTTGACATTTATCTTAATTTTTTTTTCATTTCCCCCACACTTGTTTTAATGTCGAAACAAAATCAGGTCTATAGAATTACTAAGTGATGCTGTATAACACGTGCGTGTGCCTAATGAAATGATTCATGGATTCACGCCCTTGCCATGCACATCTAAATTCCGTACTTTAATTTCAGTTTTTTTTATTTTGTAATTTCGTTTTTCTATTTAATAATTTCGTTTTTTATTTAATAATTTCTTTTTCTATTTGGTTTGCACTTTTGAAACTATTTTCTAGAATACAGGGAACTTAGTTATCTGAACATCATTTTCAACTAGTGTGCTACAGATCTGAAGATAACTTGAGTCTACATGCTTCATATGATTAAATAAAATAAATTATACCAATTCAGTTGAAAAAAATGTCTAAATGGGCCTTCTTTTGGCCCCAAAAAAATCAAAGAGAGGGTTTTTTGATTGTATTATCCCTAACAAAAAATACTTTAGTAAACTATAGTTAACTATAGTATCAAAGTAAAAACTTTGGAACTTTGATTTACTATAGTAAAAATTTTGGAACTATGATTTACTATAGTGAAAACTTTGGAACTTTGATTTACTATAGTAAAAACTTTGAAACTTTGATTAACTGTAGTGAAAACTTTGGAACTTTGGTTAACTATAGTAAAAACTTTTGAACTTTGATTTACTATACTGAAAACTTTGGAACTTTGATTTACTATAGTGAAAACTTTGGAACTTTGATTAACTATATTTAACTATAGTAAACTATCGTTAACTGTAGTTTACTATAGTATTTTTTTGTTGGGGAAATGCTAGCTGTATCAGTGACTAATGTGGCTCCAATATTATAAAACTTAAACGAGCTCATTTTTGATCCCAGTCTCACTTTTACAAAAGGAATTATTAGTGGAAAAGTGAGACTGAGATCAAGAGTGAGCTCATCTAAGTTTTATGGCCCCGGGGCCTGGAATTTCTGACAGATGGTTCCATTTTTGTTTTACACATTCATATGGCAAAGATTCTTTTGTTAGTATTTTCGCATTTGTTTAAAAGTAACTTGTTTAGTTTTTTATAGATCAAATAAGTTACAAAATGCATTTGTCGTATTGCCCACTTCTTGCTTTCCAATGGTTTTCATTGGGAGTTCTCTTGATGTAAGGTTTCGTATATGCTAGTTAACTTGGGGATAAGATTTCAAATTTTACTGGAAGACGTCAACTCGATTCAGTACTTTCAGTACTTTGATTTCTTCATGCAGAGGCATGACCCATAATGCTAGTAGCTAAGAAATAGCTGACCACTCTTTGATTTAATTACATCTTTAATGCTATAAAGCAGGCAACACATGCGTTCCATGGAAAACTCTAGCTCAATAGTCGCAGGGTATATAGCTGACTCACTGCATTCAACTTATTTACTCATCCATATAAATTAGTGAACTCAGCACGTCAGATGAGAGAGATAAAGAGAGAGAACTGCAATTTTTCATCAGCTTTATTCCCCGTACATGTACGGATTTGAACTAATGACTACATCTACTTCCCAGCAATCTTGACAATTATATTCTTATGAGTTTTCAATGTTTGATCAATATTGATTTTTTTCTTATTTGTTTTAAATAATTGTTCAAACTTAAAAACGTAAGGATTTCTGTAATACTGATTCGGTAAAAATGCTAGTCTAGAATTCTGTGCAATATAATAGGTAGTGGAATTCACGCATAATTTTATTTCATTACGAGAACACAAGTAAAATTTTGTATTTTCTCGAAATTTTAAACAATTATTAGGTTTTGGTGAATTATGCAAAACACTATATAGGTACAGAAATTTTTTTTGCCATTTTTTATTTTTTTTATTTTTGGCGATACAGAATATTTCAATGGTCATTAAGTATGTTTTAACAGCATCACATCATTGTGCATTATGGTGCTTTAAACACATTTCATAATTTTGATGACAATACCTTGTGAACAACTGTAATTGTTCAGAATGAGATCATTCGAGCTGAGATCTAATAAAGGGCATCTACCAAGTTTCTATATACCATGCAATTTGATGTTGAAAACTCAGGATGTAATATACGAGGGTTGTTCGTAAAGTTCGTGGACAACCTCTATATCACAGCCATAGTTTTTGTAAATAAAAAGAAATAAGGATTAATATTTAATTCAGACTTTACTTGTATTGTTTATCATTTTCAAGAAAATGCAATTATTGAAAAATATAAATATCAAGCTTCAAAAATTTTTGCTATTTCCACCCTGAGCACTCAGCGACAGTGTTAAAAGACGTCATAAGTGCAAACTAGCGTTTAAGAAAAATCTTCAGATTTTCTCAATGTAATCTCATCTATTTTGTCCTTTCACCCATTTATGAAAAATGTCTCCGTATTAACTAGTTTTTATACAAAAGATGTCTTATGTGATTTAATTTTAAATATCCCCCCGTTTTATGAAACTTCATGTATCGTTAAACGTCTGTCAGCATTGAGGACGTCCCGCACTTAAACGTAAACGCGTATGTTAACAGAATTTTAGATTAAGTCTTTCAACAAGAGTATTGTTACTAAAACCCCTTACTTCACAACCATATTAAAGCATTGGTTTAAATATTATGTCAAACATACCTAATAGACAAATTGTTTTCTGCTTTTTCCAAGAACACATATTGTTGCAAAGATAAGTTCATAAAGTACAGATTACTGCTGACAAAATATGATTACACAATTCAATAGGACGATAATCACCTTCAGACAAGGAGAGATGTCTTGAAATGATTTGTACCAAAGCCAATTTTGAAATTAATGAGGGCTTAAATTACTTTAAACATTTCAAATATTTTGACTAAGTACAATAAATTCTTAATTAAAAAGGAAGAAGTGCTTGGGAACAGTTAACCAGTAAGAAACACATTTTAAGTGGTCAGAGTATAAAACCACTGGAGGAAAATCTTAAAAGCTGAAGTACACACACAAGTTATCTCAAGTTTTACTTCCCAACACACTTCCGAAGTGAAGTTGAAATTGATTTATTTCATTAAGGGGAAGAAGGACCTTGTGTTGAAAAAAAATTGTCATTAATTTTTTTTCCATACTTTGTATATTACTAATTTAGTATGTCCCACATATCATAAAGCAGTTATATAATTAGATTTCTTACCTTATTTTAGAGATACTGATTGACAAATACCATGCCCTACGGTGTCTAAGTGGAGTTGTGATCTCCATGTTTACGGGCAAAATATTTTGTCCATGACAGGAATTTTTAAGCAGAGATTTTTATCACGCTGCATCAGGATAGGGAAAATTGCGTAATTTTTAGGACGACTGAAACAAAAAAAAACTTCACTTGCAAAAAATTCCATCATTCGATATTTGAAAATTTACATTGAAACTGAAGTCCTCCATTCTATTAATTAGCTATAAAAATATCAAAGGGTAAAGCTTAACTCAATATTGCACAGGACATCTTTAAACAAGACATAAGCATGATAAAATCGTGTCATGTTTTAATTTCTCGAGTACGGGATAACCAGCTGATACGTCACACCTACAAGAGATTTCTATCAACAACCATGCAAAATAATTTCTGTTTTCCCTGTTTCACAAAATACCTGACCATGTGTCTGATTATGATTTGTTTTTACGTTAAAATACTGTCCGTGTATTCACCAGTATAATCTTTCTGTACTGAAAGATCGTGTATGACGTCACCAACTGGTTGGACGCGCAGTGTCGGGAAACAGAGGAATGGAGCAATCTCTTTCACAATGTTTAGAAGAAGGTTAAAACTTTTTGGTGAGGTAAAACGCATTGTAAAAAATTATACAAATACTGGTTTTAATCAAGTTTTGTTATTAGAGACTATGACGTAGTTAACTGAGTAATGTGACCATGTGGCCTTCATCCCCTTAAAGGAGTGTTTCTTTTTACATCCATATAGTCAATGCCCTAACCTTTTATAATAGTTGTGTAATAAAGTCGTATATGTATATATATATATATATATATATATATATATATATATATATATATATATATATATATATATATATATATATATATATACTTGCCATCTAAGTAAGTCATAAAACTTGGTTTCGACGTCGCTCGAATTCTCGAGACAGGCACTTAGGGCAGTTATATCAGTTTTAGAGTTGTTGTAAATTCAATGTTGTATATTCAAATTATTTTTTCTGTCATTCATGGTTGTTGTTTCAAAATTTCGAGCAAAGCTTTAGTCTGTTTTAATAAAGATTTCAAATAAATATGCTGGCGCATGGCCAGCAATTATCCATGAAAACTAAAAGTTTGAATCATATCTTAGAATTGCATTTTGCGAATTCTGTCTTGTGTTATTTTAAAGAAAATGTGGGTCCTTAAGATACAAAGCATTCTAAGAATCTAAGTTGTTTCGATAAATAAAAGTTTTCTAATCTTTCTAAACCTCTTGGCTGAAATACTGGGGAAAAACGCAGGAAATCGTAAGGAGTTACTCAAAATATTACCCTCTTTATTTTTACATTCTAAATAGCTGCAGCTTGAACCAGTGGTTTCATTTATTTTGCAACTGTTCCTGAGAGGACTTCGACAACGTCAAACTTTGCTATTTAGAATTTAGTTGCTAACATTTAGTATTGCGCTTTTGAACAATGCATTTTTTGCGCTTTACTTTTTTGTTTTTATTATGTGCTTTGGTGGATTCCCATTCGCCACTAACGGAAAAGAAGTCAGAAAATGGCCTAAAGGTTAAATCCTTGTGCGAAACAAGTGAAACCATCATTGACAATTTGCAGAACCAGATAACTCAAGAAACGGTCATAAGGCTATCTTTACTGAAACATGTGTATTCACTGGTCAACGACATGATTAGTTTGAAAAATGAAATGGCTGTCATGAAAAACGACGCAGAAGAAATAAGAAAAAGCACAGAGGATCTTCGGCATGAAGATAAAAAAATGTTGAATGAAATAGAACAGATGAAACATGACCAGAACGATACAATTGAAAGGATAATGAATGTGCAGCATGAGCATAATAAAATGTTAAGTGAAATAGAACAGCATATGACAATTAACCATAACGACACCTCGGAAAGGATAGTGAACGTGCAGCATGAATATAAAACAAAGTTGAGTGAAATAGAAGAGAGAATGAAATATAACCATAATGATACATCGGAAAAGATGGTGAATATGCAGCATGAATATAAAACAAAGTTGAGTGAAATAGAACAGAGGATGAAAATTAATTATAATGACACATCGGAAAGGATTGTGAATGTGCAGCATGAATATAAAACAATGTTGAGTGAAATAGAAGAGAGGATAAACTATAACTATAAGGCCACATCTGAAAGAATAGTAAACGTACAGAATGACCTCGTGAACGTCAATAATTCTGTAGGTTTTCTTTGTAATTATACCGACAAAATCGATGATAAGAACGGTATCCAAGGTATGTACAGCTATAAATATTTCGTGGTCACAAGTCTTGATATAGAAATTAGTGCTTATGAAACAATCTGTTCCAGATCATTAGCATCAATATGTAAATCACTCCTCTTCGTTTCACTATTTGAATAATTAAACTACATCTACATTAATTTTTTTTTACTTTTACTTAGTTGTCGTGTTTCACATGAGTTAAAACACCCTCATTTCACGTCATTGAAATCACGATTTAAATTATATTTGTCAATGCATTTAAAATGGGTTGTTTTTAAGATGCTCTGTAGTTTTTTTTTTATAATTATAATGAAACTGACTGTCATACGATTACTATTCAAAAAAATCATAAGGGAATTTTTTTCAGACGATTTAATCAGACTAGAGTTATGTTAATATAAGCCACTGTATAAAAAAGCTCAGGTGATTTTTTTCTATGATAAAAAGGAGGTACAATTCAGCACAATGACTTAGGCAGGATTTGTACCTTTAAATATCTCTTGTTTCCTTGAGCAGCCCTATGCTAAACTTTTAAATTAGATTTCAACAATAATTACAGATGTTTTTCTAAGTAGTTATATAGTACACGATGAAAAATGTACAATTCCCTTCATCGTCATCAAAACTATATTGAATCGCAGAAAACAGAATGAAAGATTTATCAACCGAGCAGGAATAAATCCAGTCTAGACTGGGTGACCTGCACAATGAAGATCAAAGAATACTCTCTGAAAAACAACGCATGATAACAAACCATAGTGAATATACATTTTGAAAAAAAAATTTCAAGATAAGGGAAGTTTTAGAACGAAATTTCACATTATATGGTTATGGTTATATGGTTTTTCCATATCTGATGCCTGCTATTTAAGGAATACATATATATTATATATATATATATATATATATATATATATATATATATATATATATATATATATATATATATATATATATATATATATATATATATATATATATATACAAAAAATGAAAAGAAATATCACAGTGTCCGGTAATTAATATGAAAATAAAAAAAAACAAGGCAACAATTTTAGTAAAACGTAAGCGCTTTCATTACTTCTTCAGACGTTTTACAATTCAAAACAATTGTTTTGAATTGTAAAACGTCTGAAGAAGTAATGAAAGCGCTTACGTTTTACTAACATTGTTGCCTTGTTATTTTTTATTTTCATATATATATATATATATATATATATATATATATATATATATATATATATATATATATATATATATATATATATATATATAAATGAAAACAGAATGCTACAGTCCAAATTAAATAAAATCTTTACTGTTAGCGCTTTCAGCCATGTTGGCTCTTCAGACAGTTATGAAAAGTTCAAAACGTTGCCAATAACGTATAATAATATATATGAACATGTAGGATGCTATCTGTTTTGAGCAGTTGTTACATAGATCGACAGAATACTTTCCTTTTCAAATAATTTGAAACAATAAAGTACTTCTTCATACTCACTTTAACATGCATTGTTTTCTTTAGCTACTTATTGCTGATATTATTTTGCTTTAAACTGATTGATCAATTATTGTTGTGCATATATTTGAATTATAGGCATATTTCAAGCATGATAATAACTTTCTTTCCATCTAGACTGCTTAGAATCAAGCCACTGTTGGTTGCTGTATAGTTTTGGTTATGACAATAGCTGGAATGGATGTGAAGGTGGAAGCCAGTACGTAAAGAAGACAAACTATTCTTCTGCCCCTTATCTTGGTGTGATGACATGTAATTCGACAAGGTATACTATGTATATGCTTTTCTTTATTAATAAATAGCTTATGAAAGTTTTATTTGAAGATTCTAATTTATATAGATATAGCTTTTGACAATTCTATCATTCCGCAAAAAAATATAAGGTAATACATTGTATGTGTTAAGGGGCCAAGTGTTCCGCGATTAATGCAATTTTTGTCAATCATTAAATTTTAACAATTTTCAATTTTGAAGATGAACTAATGCAATATATGCTTAACTGCTTTTATTAAGTAGATGTCTATAACAATAATACTCAAGTATTCTGCAATATTTTCCTTAAAAATTATCTTATTTTGAAACCCCGGGGAACATGGAGAACTATCCGTATGTAAGTTAAAGAAAAAAATAGTGATTTATTTATTTATGTTATTACTATTGTTACTTTTTTTTTGCTTTTCTATTATTGATATAAAGTAAAATACTCATTCTCAAGAGAGTTGAAGCTTTATTTGAAATTAAATTTAGAATTATACATTGTAAAGCAAACAGTGAAGAGACGAATTTGGAATAAAAACATATTCATAACATATTACATTACCTGAGTTTACATAAGCCATGACATGAGCACTTGATAATAATGTACCCAATCAAAAAACTATATAAAGAAATTTAATACATTTTTACCAGTGCAATACTGTAATTTATTTACTGAATAAAAGTGATATCTTGTCACAGTGTGAAAGGAAAACAAAATGATATTCCGTCATAGTACTAGTGTAAGAAAATATCAGAAGTGCCACAAAACTCTTGATTTTCCTTGTGAGACAAGATTTTCATTCTATATTTTCACTCGTATACTTGTAAAAAAATTTTTTTTTTTTAATCATGTCCCACTCGTAAAATAAATTCCATATTCAACTACAAAACATTGATTATCCTCTATTTTTTTTCTCAAGATACTGTTGCTTCTTTTAAAATGTTATTTAAACCTTTGCATACTTAAGTTATTACTCCCACTGAGTGACACTATCACCGGAATTATCTTGCTTTCATTCTTGTTCTTCTGACAAAGTTCAAGACAAAAACGTTCAGGCATTCGAATTTTACTGCCTTGCCTTTTATTTTTGAGCCTTAAATAAATGCAATCTATAATGTACAATCTGTAAAAAGCTCTGTGTGGTGCATTGATTTGCAAGCAATTTCCTGTAAACGTCTTTAGATTACTTCATATAGTTGTCAGCTTATTTCAATTGAAAAAAAATTATTGTAATTTAAATTTCCATGTTTATTTCTGGGTATATGCTATGTAAAAAATAGAATTGATTGTAAATTGTGAAATGTTTTGATCGTGTGGCGAGTATAAATGTTATTTTACACATTACTATTTCTCTTCTCCCTACACTGGTTTACGTAGTCATGCAATTTATCGTTCATGATTTATACTTTGATAGATACAAGCTGTTTTTGAGTAAAACAGTTACCGGCACATACTATAACATTGCTGATACCGGTGGTAATGGACAGGATCACTGTGAACTTTTGGGGACTGCCCAGGATGGTGTATTGCCTAGAGACTACGTAAGTTCACCAAACACACAAGGTGAGGAAAGATGTTGTATAAGCCAATTATGATTTGAGTTATAATGTATTTCCTTCTTCCTTTTTACATATTTAAAGCCTTTCTTTCCTTTTTACATATTTTAAGACTGTTCGATCATCAGTGTTTTATCATTATTTTTACTTTAATCCTATATGTCAACTTTCAGACCAATGTCATTAAATATAATGTTGATAAATGGCGTGTTTACCCTTTATCTTAATAAAAATATTTAATATTCACAATCAGAGTTCTTGTCGGATGCTAAAAGAAGCAACAAAACTTCCTGCTCCTAGTCTGACTATATTGAAATATTTCCTAATTTGTTGGGAAAAATACAGTGCATTTTATACATTTTTTTTACAAAATAATGTTATAATGAAATTGATTTGTATTTTATTTCACTCTAATAAAAGACCACGGAAAAATAGATCTAAGCTCAGTAGCTTGGCTTTTTTACTTTTTCAATTCTTTCATCTTAGTCATTTTTTTATCAGGGACGATATTATTATTATTTAAATGAATAAAAGCGTAAAAAAAAATATTGATTAAAGTGCAATTTAGAGTGAATTGTTATAGAAATTAATGAATTCTAAGGATTTGTTGTTTTTCAGGTAGAATATACACCATGATTGGGTTGTAGTGCTGCTAATATAGTTATTTTTTTTATATTTCTTTTTGAACAAAGCCAGAGGAAATTTAGTTATTGTTCTTTTATTGTTACTTGTTACTTTAAATAATAATGTGCTTCTCAGTCACAGTTCAAAGCATATAAAAGTTTAATCTCCCATTTTATCTCCACTGGGTACGGGTTTCGAAGAAACTATTTTTACAAGATTGTACCCTATATTTCTGTATTTTTGTTTTCAGGTTTCTTCAGAAACTTTCAGTAATAATTGAAAATAATGTTTAAGACAATGCAAAAATTGCAAAGCAAAGTCACTCGTCAGTTTGTTAGTATTCTGTCTCATAAGATACTGAAACTTATATGCAATGTACTAATGTCATGACATTTCTAAATCAATAATTTACGAAACGAGTAATACTGATGACTTGTGAAATATATCTACGAAAAATATGGAGGAAAAAAGCTTTTCTTTTTCTACATTGCCTTCAAATAAACTTCTTTTTTTTTATCAAAAAGTGTTATAAAGTATAGCAATTGCCAATGTTGTCTTTTTTAAAGGTTTCTATCGAAGTGGAAGGGGAGACACATTCTTGTATGGAACAATAGGATATATACCACAGCGGACAAGTAAATGGTATGAAAAATGGATCGAATGTGGTGTCAGCATACCGGGAAGTGACAGGGTCATACCAAAGTAAACCCACCGAAACCCTACTCTATTTCTTATGTATTATTAAATATATTGAAAAAAATTGTCAGGTTTGTTTTAGAAACATCTTTTTATTATAAAATATAAAAACAAATCTTCTTTCTTATTTTTTATTCTCCCACCCGACCTGATTTTCAGAATTACGAAACTTATATAGCAAATACTAAAAAAAAAACTGTTTGAACACCCCTCCATGGATAAGTCCGTGGAAATCCAACTACTCCCCTACACACACACACATACCCACTCACACACACACACGAGATATGTTTCTTTATTTCATTTATTTATTTATTTATTTTGCTCGTCAAAATATTTCTAAGACAGAATTGTGTTGAACGGGCCGACTTTGAAGATTAAAACTGATAAAAAAAAAAATTAGTTCACGCTTCTACATGTTCTAAAGAGCCTTATTCCTAACTCTAAGGACAACAATTTCATAATTTTTTGTTTCGTGTAGTCATTCAAACACGTTTGCTTCAAGATGGTCTTGAGTAATTTATAATGAAAATGTATTGTTGTCACTACCGACCTCTAGTTGTGATGGTTTCTTTGAATTTCGTTTACAACCAAAAACAAATATTCTTTTGGATGACCTCTGTTCACCAAGAAATAACAAGATTTGTTACAACTTGACTATGACTTTATCTACAAATATACAATAAATAATAAACAGGGTCCATAAGGTCCACATGGGGTCATCACTAGATGGTTTCCCTCTATATGTAACATAATCCTGCCTCTGATAAAAATCCTAAAATTTCGTTGGTCGAGAAGAATACTGTACTTAACCATTTTATGCTGCATACCGACATTATATTGTTGATGTGCCCCCTCCACGTGACTTACCAACCACACATCAAATCAATATGCCCCCTCCACGTGCCATACTGTCCAGATTATGAAAATGTATTTTTTTTATAATAAGATCCATGATGGTAAACATTGTGAAGTCATTGGTATAAAAAAGATTTCTTCAATACAGCAAATGTCCATTGCTGGTCAGAAGATGAGGAAGAAGCAGTACGTAAACTTTTAATAAAATCGTCAGAAAAAGAAATGAAGACAAACGCTAACATGTCAGTTGAAACTGTAGTACTTCTCAGCCATATGTAAATATAAGCAAACCTGTCTCTGTTTGTAGATTTTAGTCTAATAAGTTTATTTTAACTTTCAGTCACAGCACAGTTTAAAGAAGCAATGTTTCGCATTTTTTATCTTTTCTTTTTACTTTTTTTAAATAGAAGAATAATAACAAACAAAACGACATTTCCTATTTTTGCAGAAAAAGTATTCATTGCATAAGTGTAAGTATAAGGGGCTTAATTTTTTCCTCATTGTATATTTTACAACTTGTTTAGTTCTTTTTTGTCTATGTGAAAAAAGTGATTGTCTAAATTTCAAATCGTCAAATTTGTCTTCTAATGTAGGAAAAGAATAATTGATTAATTATTTGGTCAGATTAAATATGAAATGTGGAAGTTTTTTCGATCCTTTTCATACATCTGCACATTCTTAGAAAGATTCTTTTAACAGATATGAAAGGTATGTTTTCTCATTTTGTAACAATTTTTGTGTAAGGCTTGGAGAAATTTGGTCAAATTGGCCGTTATATTAAAATCTGACGTATCCTTTTGTCACAGGGCTAGCAAAAATATTTACCAATATAAATTTGAAACAAAAATGTTTAAAGCTACATCTAAATACATATAATTTACAACTTTTCACAATCGCGTATTTTGACCATGTTAAAATATTGGCCATAAATTCTTCATTCGATTAGGACCATCTCAAGACAATTGGATGATTTTTAATTTGTTTTATCATCATGCAAATTTAAAGATTATAGTTACTTTTCCTCATTTCTTCTGTGTTGGTTTCATGATATCTAATAATTCATTTTTCTTGTTGATATATGTAAAATTTTTGACCAATAAAAACGATAGTTTCATAAGTAACAGGCTGATTAAACATGCAGGTTCTTAAGATCTTTAAGAATGTCCGCTCCTCAGCCAGGAACTATAGCTCTTAAAATTATTATTTAATTTTAAAAAGTCTCAAAATGAAGTTTGAAATCGTAATACTTTGTGCAACAATTTTCATTTCATACATCTCAATATTAATTAAGGTTCTTTGAAGTCTTAGAAACAGTCTTGTTAAAAATTGACATTTGTACCTCTATTATAAAATTAGAAGCGATCTGTGAATGTCTTGTTGCAATGATAGCGGAAGCTTTTAACATTATGTATTAAGGGGCTTGGACACAGATTTGAAGTTAATATTTTCTCAAATTTTCTGTGTATTATCATGACTTATGAAAATATAATGAAAATATAATAAAAGCATGTTCAGAAACTTCTTTTATCTAGAAATTATTACAACTACGACTTTCGGGATGCGTTTGATTGACACAAATCCTTGCTTTCGCAAAGTAAACTTAATCCTTAATAATTATGAAAAGTAGAATTTTTGTTGTGTATTAATAAAAAAAATATTGAAACTATAATTCAGAAAATCCATAGTTCGTGCCCTGATTACAAAAACAGATGTTAGACGTGACGTAAAGAAGAATGTCATTGTCATTGAATTCTAAGAATATTCATGTAAGTTCAATTCATTTAACCGGTTTTATTTTTTGAATAACAAAAGAAATTTAGAATATAAACAATGCAACTTTGTCTAGGCCCCTTTATATGCCAAAGTAAAATGAACTAAAATAATGTGTAAGTATATAAAAACATGCAGATTCTCGGAATGCCTGGACACCTCTAGTTTTTATTCTAAGATTCATGTATATATGTTGATCAATTTTAATTTAGAAAATGTTGAGATGGCGCTTTTATTCGTGTTTCCTAAGAATAAATATTTGAGATTTGATAATTTTCCGAATATAATTTGATTAACAATAATTATGATTTTTGTAAAATACCATACGTGAGATATACACCTTACTTTATGAATTCAATGACATTTTTGTGACCATTTCAATTACTTAACTGACGATTTTACGAAGGATTAGAGCATCTTAAGGATAGAAGATGCATTCTGAAAATGCAAAAAAACTAATTCATGATGTATATTTGAAATCCTGTCAGCAAAATTAAATTATTGGTACAAGTTGCAAATACTTGAAAAACAAAGCAAGGAAGAGCTTAGACTCTTCTTATTAAAGATTTTTCTCCTCATGCTGCAATGTTCACAACCAAAATATTTAAGTGGTAAAATAAAACGCATTTCAAAGGTCATCAAAACAACTTAAAAACGCCCTTGTATCTTAATTACCTACTACGGAAGTGTATCTCTGTAGATCTTCAAACACTTAAAACTTATGATTTAAGGTGGTATGTGTGTGTTCTTCTTTTCAAATTTATGTTATCTAGGAGACTAGTTTTCAAACACATTTTCCATCTAATGAGAAGTTTTAAATGTTAAAAATAAATTCAGTCCGTACTGTTTGCCTTTTTGCATTATTACTTAATACTTTATGCAATACTTATGAAGAGGTCCCTTCTACATCATAATTAAAAACATCGAACATCAGTAATAATGATAATGATGATGCAAACTTTAGGGCGAGTGCAGTTGTGTCATAGTGGATACCTATTCATTTTTAACTTAAAAATTCTGCATCCAACCGCACGAGACATTTGGAGAGTTCTAGAATGTGATGTAATATGACGTAGTATGTTGGTTGTATTTCCATAACGAAGTTTGAAAAAAGCAGATTTAAAAAGCAAAGTTTAATCCACTATCTACTAGTATCTGTTTGGGGCTCGTAGGGATCATCAAACTAACTTTCGGCCTTTTGATGCTTACCGCACATACCAGTGCGACAAAGATACTGTATTGATATGTGAATGTTGGCTTGACAAATTTAAAGTAGATGTGGTATGCAAAATCATTTTGACTAATAACTTAATTAATCGTAATGAATCAAACGTAGATTATAATTTCTTTTTAAAAAGTTAATCTGGATTCAAAGTTTAATTCATTGTAGCGACTATTGGATTTGTGATATGTTGACTAAACGAAACTGTTCATATCCGTGTTTGAAATTGGCATTATTTTAATAATTATTTGTAATTTATATTTTGTTAGATTGACAATTTATAAGCGTCGCTTTTCTTCCAGACATATTGACAAAAAGTGGAATTTATCAACGGCCATAACGATCGTAATCAATTGTGTATATATTTCTGCTTATACGGCTAGTTATTTTGTTTGCATTTTAGAGCAGCAGAAATTTAATTCTGCAAGTGGTAATCCAACATATCTATAGCTCCCTTTCTAAGGTGAAAATTCTTCAAATTCATATGTCTAATTTATACAGTTTGGATATTTCCAACAATCAAATTGAATTTGAACTACCATACGTATACTGGATTCCAAATCTTACAAACAAAGATACAGAGCTGGTTCCCGTAAACGGTCCAACTAGCCTCTTTCTTTAGGTTTGCTAAAATTTTGACAGCAGTGAAGGAGAAACTCCTGGAGTACTGTACAAGATATTCGAGAAGTGGTTTAAATCAAATGTGGATATTTTAAAACTCAGAGGAACTTTCAGAAAATTTGAAATCTCTACTTTCACTAAAATAATAACATCAAAACGTAATACTTTTCAACTTTTTATACAGCTATTCCTCACGAAAAACTAATGTCTAAGCTCCATGACATCACGAACAGCTGCTTTTTTAATAAAAATAAAACTCGTAAATTTGCTTACCTTGTCATTGGTTATTTGCAAAATTATATTGTTAAAAACATTTTGAATGTAAACACAAGTACTCTGAAATTAATATTAAAAAGATTCTAAAGTTTCTGATTGACTGACTATATCTATCTTGTTTTTGGAGATCAGGACTTCTCACAAACTGTCGTAATTTCCATGTGTACTAATCGCGCCCCGTTATTAGCAGACGTATTTTTGTATTCATATGAAGCAAAATTTACTTCTCATGAAAAGAAGTTCTCTTGCTGTGGCTTTCAATT